CAAGTCGGCCATCTTGGTTGGCTGGCAGGGTCATTGGACAAATCTTTAAAACTAAATACCCTAATGATGATTGTTACCAAGTTTGGTTAAATTTGGCTCAGTAGTTTCAGAGGAGAAGATTTTTGTAAATGTTAACAGACGTCGACGATGGAGGACGACAGACGCCAAGTGATGAGAAAAGCTCACTTGGCCTTTTAAAAAAAATCACTTCTAAAGTAGAAATTCACTCAACACTCAATAAATACAAAAGGAACTTTTCTGACATATTTGGTTTCTCTTGGTTTTGCATTCAAAAATATAATCTTAAAAGTTTAGCAAATAACAGCCAGTTTATTATTAGTTATGGCAGCATGTTTGTTATATGATCTAAACTGAAGTGTTTATACAGAACATTAATAAGGATAATTTATGTCAATAATGGGGTCAATGTTTCAGTGGCTTAGGAGTAAATAGTTGATGAATACAGCAGATGACATGACACAAGACACGGTAGAGTAAATTTTAGGTCCAGATTGTAGTATTTGTGGCTCTATTTTCTATAGGTATTTAATTTTTCAGCAAGCAGGTGACATAACATTATATCTATATCATACAAAACAGACAAAGTTCAACTTTTATTTTTTTAATGACCATAGGACGTTAAAAATATCAATAAGTAATTGACGAGTAAAACATTAAGCTTTTTTTTTACATTAATATTCATGATCATCTTCACTTCATATATATAGCATATAACCTCATAGTAAATGTATCAACAGTCAACTATTTGAATTTTTTAATATTTTCATCTATATTACTTATAAAATTACTAGAGGCTCATCTGACTGTATATTTTTACCATACTTGGAGTTTTCATTTGGTAAAGATTGTTTCTACGTGTTAATGTAATTAACCTTTTGCTTTAACTTTTCACATATAATTCAGACTTTTCTTCTTCTTTTACAAGACATCAATACAGCATAAAAACAAATGAATAATGAAATCTGACTGATGAACCTAAAAAGTAACTTTAGTATGAACTTTCTTGAAAGCCCTGGAGATTCGCCATGAGTTAGGATCTTCATATTTGTTATAAAGCGGTTCAATCTTTTGTTGTTTCTTCTGTTTGCTGAGTTTGGTTGGATCACTATGACGGAAGAACTTGGGAGCAAACTCCACTAGCCATTTAGGATCTATAGTTGTTACTTCTCTCATGTATTCCTTTGTTGTCAACACAAGCTCATGATACACAACCCTGTAACAACCAAATACAGTGAGTTAATTGACGATAACTTCGTAATTTATAGTCACTCATGATAAAATTAGATCTTAAACAAGAATGTGTCCATAGTACACAGATGTCCAACTCGCACTATCATTTTCTATGTTCAGTGGACCGTGAAATTGGGGTCAAAACTCTAATTTGGCATTAAAATTAGAAAGATCGTATCATAGGGAACATGTGTACTAAGTTTCAAGTTGATTGGACTTCAACTTCATCCAAAAACTTTAACCTGAAGCGGGACAAACGGACGGACAAACGAACGGATGCACAGACCGAAAAACATAATGCCCCTCTACTATCGTAGGTGGGGCATAAAAATTAACCTAACGAAAGGATCGTAAATATGATGTCAAGGACATATAACATATGCCAAAGTAATTCACGCCTATATTTTAATGAAATGAAAGGAATGATTACCCAAGTTCCTTTTTTTTCTTTTTCGTTGATATTATAGAAGTAATAGAACTAGTCAATCAAAATGACTGTTGCATGAAGCACTAGTAAGATATACATCGTTATTATAGTAGTAAGTGAACTTACCAATCAGGCTGTCTGTTGAATAAAGCACTAGAAGGATGTATATACACAACTTGACTATCCACCAATGTTCTGTAGCCCTCTTGGGGATCCTTTTTGGCAGCATTCCTGAAGAAACCACTGCATATAGCTTTTTGTACCCTGGCTGTGTTCTTACCACAACTCACTACATCAAGCTTATGTCTACAAAAAAAGTTTTAGAGCTTAAATAAATTAGTAAATTCAAAAAAAATATTGATTTACAGACAGAGTTCATTATTTATTCTATTCGTTTACTGATTATTGATATTTACAGCAAACATCTATACATGTTTTAAAAAAATTTCTGCTTTTGTTGACAATTATTTGTGGATGGTTCTTAGGTTTATCATCAAACATCTTCTGACATTTGTCAATAAAATGCTCCGCTGGGCGCAGCTTGATACGACCGCAGAGGTCGAACCATGAACAGTTGGGGCAAGTATGGACACAACATTCAAGCTTGAAACAGCTCTGAATTTGGATTGTGATTAAATATTTGAGACAGCATATTTTTCTGACACAGAATGAATGTGGTCTAAGAACTTAAAAAAAAAATTTAATTTACCTATTATGGTCCAATATCCAAAATCTAAATACATACGTGGTTAGATTCAGCATATCAAAGAACCCCAAGAATTCAATTTTTGTTAAAATCAAACTAAGTTTAATTTTGGACCCTTTGGACCTTAATGTATACCAATTTGAAAACGGGACCAAAAATTAAGAATCTAAATACACGGTTAGATTCAGCATATCAAAGAACCCCAATATTTCACTTTTTGATGAAATCAAACCATATCATTATTATTTGCTTTTATATATAAATCAATAAAATGCTCCACCCGAGCGCAGCTTGATACGACCGCAGAGGTCGAACCCTGAACAGTTGGGCCAAGTATGGACACAACATTCAAGCTTGATACAGCACTGAATTTGGATTGTAATTAAATATTTGACACAGCATAGGTTTCTGACACAGAATGAATGTGGTCTAAGAACTTAAAATTTTTTATTTTACCTATTTAAACCATATCATTATTATTTGCTTTTATATATAAATCAGAAATAACCAATTTAAAATGGAAAATTTTAAAGAAAAAAAAGGAAAAAAAAATCCCCCCCCCCAATTTTTTGAACCCCCTTATGATTCATCACACCCAAACGCAATCCCAGAATCCCTTTGTGGTATGGTACCTTGCAGTACAAATTCAGAGAGATCCATACACAAGAACACAAGTTATTGTCTGGAAACTAGAAAAATGCTTGTTTTTTGGCCCCTTTTTGGCCCCAAATTCCTAAACATTAAGGGCAATTACCCCCAAACTCAAAACCAGCTTTCCCTTTGTGATATGGAACCTTGTAGTACAATTTCAAAAAGATCCATACACTTACACACAAGTTATTGTCCTGAAACTAGAAAAATGCTTGTTTTTTGCCCCTTTTTTGCCCCTAATTCCTAAAATTTTGAGGCAATTACCCCCAAAATCAATCCCTGCCTTCCCTTTGTGGTATGGTACCTTGCAGTACAATTTCAGAGAGATCCATACACTTGAACACAAGTTATTGTCTGGAAACTAGAAAACTGCTTATTTTTGGCCCCTTATTCCTAAACGTTTTGGGCAATTACCCCCAAACTCAATTCCAGCTTTCCCTTTGTAATATGGAACCTTGTAGTACAATTTCAGCAAGATCCATACACTCACACACAAGTTATTGTCATTAAACTAGAAAAATGCTTGTTTTTTGCCCCTTTTTTGGCCCCTAATTCCTAAAATTTTGAGGCAATTACCCCCAAAATCAATCCCAGCATTCCCTTTGTGATATGGAACCTTGTGGTACAATGTCAGAGAGATCCATACACTAACACACAAGTTATGTCTGGAAGTTACAAAAATGCTTATTTTTGGCCCCTTTTTGGCCCCTAATTCCTTAACTGTTTTTACCATAACCCCCAAAATCAATCCCAACCTTCCTTTTGTGATATTGAACCTTATGGTAAAATTTCATAGAGATCTATTCACTTAAACTAAAGTTATTGTGCGAAAACCAATGTGTCTTCGGACGACGACGACGACGCAAAGGTCATACCAATATACGACCACAAAATTTTTTTGGGGTCGTATAACAAAGGACTACTAGCAGTTACTGACATGCCAGCTCCAGACCTCAATTAAACTGATTGAAAGATTATGTCTTCATCATATGAAAATCAGGTACAATCCCTCCTGTTAGGGGTTTAGTATCATACCATCATAAAATATATGAGAAGAACATAACCCATATCATGCCAACAACTGGTTTTAGAATAAATGTGTCTATTTCTGATGCAAAGACCCTATGAGTGAATCAATATTAATACCAAAATATGCAATCCTTAATGACCTGACAACAGTATCATAACTATATCCCTTCCGAATAAGTTTGTTTAAAGGTTTGTTTAGCTTTTGAGGTGAATGCCAACATTTTTGTGCTTTGTAAAGAATATTACCATAAAATATTGGATGTGAAATACCTGAACGTATAAGATGTCTGCATGTTGATTTATATTTACGAATGATGTCCTTGTACTGATGATAAAATTTAGAAAATGTTTTGACTACTTTGTGATATCGAAAACCCTGGCGTAATAATTTTTTAGTAATACAGAGATTTCTTTCTTGAAATCAAATACGTTGTTACATACACGAGCAAATCGAACAAGTTGAGATATATAAACACCATAAGATGGTGACAAGGGAACGTCACTATCTAAAAATGGATAATTAACAATAGGAAATGAAAAATCATCTCTTTTATCATAAATTTTGGTATTAAGCTTCCCGTTAAAGATATAGATATCAAGATCCAGGAAAGGGCAGTGTTCATTGTTAGTATTAGCTTTATTTAAAGTCAGTTCGGCAGGATAAATCTCTTTAGTGTACATACTGAAGTCGTCATTATTGAGAGCCAATATATCATCTAAATATCTAAAAGTGTTATTAAATTTTTGAATCAGATGTTGTTTTGATGGGTCTTTGCTGATTTTAGTCATAAATTGTAACTCATACATAGGAAAAATTGCAACATATGTTTTCATATGTTTAACATATGTTTTTCATATGTTTGAAAACATATGTAAACATATGTTTAGGCCCGACATGAAAACATATGTTTTGGAACATATGAAAAACATATGGAAAACATATGAAAAACATATGTTTTTAAAATCATATGAAAAACATATGTTTTTCATACATGTAAACATATGAAAAACATATGTTTTTCATATGTTTTTTACAAACATATGTTTTTCATATGTTTTCATACCTGGCCTAAACATATGTTTTCATATGTTTGTCCTAAACATATGTTTTCATATGTTTGGCCCAAACATATGTTTTCATATGATTTTATCTTGGTCCTAAATATATATTTTTTATATGTTTTTAATTGTTCAAATGCATTTATTTTTTCATAGATTCTAAACATGGTTTGTATATATGTGTATTTTTTTTTTTGCGATAGGTTTTTAAGGGTAACGTTTTGATGTTTTTTAATATGTTTTTCTTTAATTTGTTATCTTTTTTTTCTGACAGGAACTCATTTTGAGTGTGAATACTTCATTATGATGAGTTGTTGCTTTAAAAAGTAAAAAACCCAAAATACCAAATTCCACAGAAAATACATAGCAAAATCAAAAGCTCAAACAAATAAAAAACAATAAGTGCTCCATAATGTTTATATAAAGTAGAATTTTTTTTATTAAGTTGTTGTCTCTTCTATTTTCATATTTTTGTCTCCTTGACATACATTGTACCACATTTCTATTGTCTATATTCTATTTTCATTTGTTTGTCTCTTCGACATACCCCATTTCTATTGTCTATATTCTATTTTCATATGTGTGTCTCTTTGACATACCCCATTTCTTTTGTCTATATTCTATTTTCATGTTTGTCTCTTTGACATACCCCAATTTTATTGTCTATATTCTATTTCCATATGTGTGTCTCTTTGACATACTCCATTTCTATTGTCTATATTCTATTTTCATATTTTTGTCTCTTTGACATACTCCATTTCTATTGTCTATATTCTATTTTCCTATGATGTATGAGATATTTCTATTGCTATACCTCCATACACAGATATTTAATTGTCTTCACTGCTGTATATTACTGGTGCATGTGTATGCAGCTGCTTTTTGTAAATATCCTGTATGATTAAGAAAGACAACTAGATTGACTTTGAGCTCAATATTGTATTAATTAAAAATGAATGTTCTTTGGTTCTGTTTCTTTACTTTTCAGTTCCTGCAAGTAGAAATAAAAGAACAAAGTTTCAATGTCCACCTAGTCGCAAATTTTTAGCTCACATGGCCCGAAGGTACGTCGTCGTCCATCGTCGTCGTTAACTTTTTACATTTTTGACTTCTTCTTGAGAACCACTGAATGGAATGGAACAAAATATGGCATGAATGTTCCTCATGAGGTGCTGACCAAGTGTTGTTACTTTGTAGCGGATCCATCATCCAAGACGGCCACCAGTGGGGGGCTTAGTTTAACAAAGGACCCTACGGGAAATACATACAAATGTCTTCTTTTAGAGAACCACTGAATGGAATGAAAGCAAACATAGCAATATTAATCCAAATTTGGCCTCAAACATTATTATAAGTATCTGTTATGATTTTTATCTTTTTTTATATGATTTCAAAAACCCAAGTAATCAGGTGAGCGACACAGGCTCTTGAGAGCCTCTAGTTTATCTATCAAGGGGCAATATTAACATGATTAAAAAAAAAAACATGTTTTTTTGTTCTCAAAAATATTGATAAATAAAAAATGTGCTTGAGGCAAAAAAAAAGTTGTTTTTCTTGTATACTAAATATTTCAAACTGACCTTCAAGGGCATTACTATAATAGTATACTATAAGTTTAATAAAAAAAAATTTAGAGCATATACCAGGCCATTTTCCATAAATTTATTATTTCCAAGAGGCATAACTCTTTTGAAAAAATTCAATCGGCCATCATTACAACTGCCAGTTGGACATCTACACCTTACAATAATTCCTTACACCAAATATAGTAAGTATAACTTATTGCTTATAATACCTCAGATATTGACTTGACCACAATAACTTTCTGACAGAGTAGACAGACACTAGCTATAGGACCTCGCAAGGTACCCACATACTAAGTAAATAGAAATATCCTATTACCAGGATAACTATAAATAATATTAATAAGAGAGAAATTAACATTACAAAAAAACTTTAACCACAGACTGAACCTATATTTTAGGACAGCGACGCCACCCCTGGCAGAATCTAGGATCACTGTCTCGCTTTCGTGAAATAAATTTGCAAGCTTGACAAAAAGCAGAACATGTATTTCAGAAATAGAAATTCTATGCAATTATTAATACTTATATGCTGTTATGGTCCTACATATTCTTGTGAGTTCAATATTTTGGCATTACACAAGGTCATGCTTTCTTAGACTGTTTGAAATGACAAATGTTTTGTTGTTACATTAATTGATTAAATCTGTCGAAGGTGAATTGATAGATATTTTAGTTTGGGAAAACATAATTTTTGCATCTTTTATTATTTTGTTATTTCTTTTTAAGTGCTTGTTGATGAGTCCAGCCCTTTCTGGCTGATTTTGACATGTGTTTCTTATGTTGGGTGCTGTCTGCCATACTGTGTCACAGTGTGTAGTTTTATTTTTTTCATTGGTTCACATTTTTTCATCCTTATACAAGTTATAGCCATAACAGGTTACTTTATGGTATTGATTTTGATCATTGTTTATGGCTGTACAGTGACCAGGAAATGTTTACATCTTCGTCCTTTGGTTTTTTAATTGATAGTTGTCATATTGAGAATCATACATGTACCTCATCTCCTTATACATGTTAAACATGTTATATTTATATGCTGGTTCAAAAAAAATCTTAAAAGGAAATTATTCAATTGTTATATGTTTGAAAACTCTTTCCTATAATGCAAAATCAATAATTGATTGACTTTTCTAGCTTAATTTAAGATTCAGTGGCAAATATTTTATGTATATTCAAGACAAGAACAACTTTTAAATATACAATTCATAATATAAGCAAATGCTATAATTATTTTAACTTCTGACCATCTTATGCGTGTGTGTGTGTGGAGCAGAAGGATTCCTTGATAAAATTGAGAATGGAAATGGGGAATGTGTCAAAGAGACAACAACCCGACCATAGAGCAGACAACAGCCGAAGGCCCCCAAATTGATGCATACTTGACATCAGAAAGACAGAAATAAACAACAGTATACATGGTATACATGCTGTAACATGTACAATTACACTTGAAAAAGTTTTAAATAGATAACATTAAATTATTTAAATTAACTGCAATTCAACAGATGAACTTACTTTGATACCAGTTCTTTTTGCCTGACATCCGCACCTACATGTACACCAGTGATTATAATACTGTACTTTCCTTTCATTTGGTAACCATGGTAACAAGCTAAAATTGTAAATCTTAATTTAATCCAGAAGTCCAGATAAAAACAAGATAATTTTTGTAGACTTAGTATAACTGATGCTCACTAATTTATATTTTTACTTTTGAGTGAATGGAAACAATACGTAACAAACAACAAAAAGATCAACAGTGTAACTAATATTAATAATATATGTATAGCCTAAGCCCGTCTCAGTATAGTATGAACTTTTTCTAATATAAAATGATCTATTCTGCTGTCTAGTTTAAAATAAAATGCTCCCCAGGGCGCAGCTTGATACGACCGCAGAGGTCGAACCCCAAACAGATGGGGCAAGTATTGACACAATATTCAAGCTTGATACAGCTCTGAATTTGGTTTGTGATTAAATATTTGACACAGCATACATGGCATAGGTTTCTGACACAAAATCAATGTGGTCTAAGAACTTAAAAATTTTAAATTAGACATTTACCTATTATGGTTCAATATCCTAAATCTAAATACATGGTTAGATTCAGCATATAAAAGAACCCCAAGAATTCAATTTTTTTATGAAATCAAACAAAGTTTAATTATGGACCCTTTTGACCTCAATGTGGACCAATTTGATAACAGAGCCCAAAATCAAAAATCTAAATACACGGTTAGATTCGGCATATCAAAGAACCCCAATAATTCAATTTTTGATGAAATCAAACAAAGTTTTATTTTGGACCCTATGGACCTCAATGTGGACCAATTTAAAAACGGGGCCCAAAATCCAAAAACTTAATACATGGTTAGATTCAGCATATTAAAGAACCCCAAGATTTCAAGAATAAAACCCCATTGATTTGGTCAAGAAATAAGCAATTTATACAAAGTATTAGAAAAGTATTGTTATTGGCCCCTAATTCCTAAACAGTTAGAATCACAACCCCCAAATTCAATTCCAACCTTCCTTTTTTGGTATGGAACCTTGTGGTACAATTTCAGAAAGATCCATACACTTACACACAAGTTATATTGTCTGGAAACTAGTAAAATGCTTATTTTGACCCCTTTTTAGGCACTTAATTCCTAAACTGTTAGGATCATAACCCCCAAAATCAATTCCAACCTTCCATTTGTGGTTTCAAACCTTGTGTTTAAATTTCATAGACATCCATTCACTGAAACTAAAGTTATTGTCCGGAAACTAAGTGTCTTCGGACGACGCGGACAACAACGACGACGTGATACCAATATACGACTGCAATTTTTTTTTGCAGTCGTATAAAAAACAACATTAACATGATTAAGGCCTTAACTCTTGATGTTTAATAAATCTTGGTTTCCTGTTAAATAGGCAAAATTGTTTAAATACACCATTTATAGGCATGTTGTGGAATCTCAATAAATACTTATGATTGCAATGTTCGTTTAATCGTCGTTGTAGCTATGAAATCTATACAATAACGTCATTCACTACAACTTAAGAATTACAACGTTACCATAGTTCAATATTAGTACTTCGCGTATACTATTTTACGACAAGGAAATATTAACTCATGAACGTAATATGTTGTCATTTGTGTTACCATCCATACTTCATGCATTTAATAAAAGAACAGCTTTTCAATGTACCTTGCCAATTGATGGATATACATGTATAAAATTTGCTATCAAAAAGCAAAAAATATGTATGTTCTTTTAACCTTTTTCATAAATTATAAATAATCTAAAAGAAATGAAGACGTGTGTTGATTGCTTGCAATGCAATTTTTCTTACAATATCTATTTCCAAGAGGCATAACTCCTGTAAACATATTTGATCAGCACTTATTTTCTAACTCATAAAAGCCTATGCTGATATAGACCTACATGTATGGTATGAATTACAAAAATATCTGACAAAAAAATGTAACCATAACAGTGCTTTACTGGTTATCTTCCATAGAATTTATATTTCAAAGTTAAGTAATTCCTGTATAAATAATTTATCCAAGACATTACTGGTATATATAATAAACCTTTGGTATACATAAATATTACATGAATAAACAAAATATTTAAACAAAGTTATCCTTTTCATTACAATACATACCTCTCATCACAAAATAATTATTGCCTGCTGCTCCTTATATGCATATAAATCAATATGACAATCTATGAATCCATTATATAATCTAGAAAGCAATGCATCAAATGAATTCTGTTCTGTTGCTTAGATTCTTCTACTTCTTGGAGTACAAAATGTACTTTCATTGAAAATGCTAAAAGAAATAAAGTATGACATGTACAAATGTATAATAAAATGAAGTTACAATATTTATATATCTGCCAAATTTATTGCCTTAAAATTTTTTATATGACAAAATTGGCTAATTTTGATCTTTTAAAACAAGAAGTCTGAACAACAGATCTAGACTTGCCCTGAAAAAAAATTAACTATGCAAAAAGTATTAAATTATTTGAATGTTCTAATCCATCTTATGTTTATTAAATCCATATGACTTGTTTGAAGTAATAAATCAAAGTGGTTAAATCTGCTTTGTACAGATCTGATGTCATATGAGTTAAGCCTTTTCACACCACTATCCCATGTTAGGGAGCTACCATTTGATTTAGGGGGGGGGGGGGGGGGGTTAGGATGAAAAAGTTTTTCCTGCATTTCCATTTTTCCACTCTATTCAGTCCTGTCTTTTTTTTATTTATAGTTTATTCTGACTTTTGTTTTACATCAATTGTCATCCTGCCTTTTTTTTTGGGCAAAGTGTCTCATCCTGCCTTTTTTTCAAATTTCATCCTAGACCCCCACACACACACACACACATATATTAAAACAAATTATAGCTCCTTTAAGGGGAAGATTTGGCACCAATAAACTAGTCTGACTCCACCACATCCTGTATGTGCCTGTCCCAAGTCAGGAGCCTGTAATGTTCAAGTTGTTGTTTGTTCACTTTGTTGCTGTATATCATATTTGTTTATTTGTTCCTTGTTTTGTTTAGAAATCATAACATGTATCAGTCTGTTAGTTTCCTCATTTGCATTGTTTTACATTTGTCATTTTCATTAAATGTCTTTAATAGCTGACTTTGTGGTATGGGCTTTGCTCATTGTTGAAGTCATCTTGTACCATAACTTATTATAGTTGCTAACTTCTATGTCATTTGATTTCTGGTGGAGAATTGGACTCTTCTCATTGGCAATCATACATGTACATGTACCACATCTTCTTATTTTTATATTCACATTAAAGTATATGTAAAGTAAACCATTCATGCACTCTAGGGGTCCACTTCTTATAATGTACAAGGTGATAAGTCTGCCGCTGTAATAGCTTGGCTCATATTTTTCAGCTTAAAAATATGTGAATAGGTGTGGAAAACTATCAGAAGTATAATACATGTACATGTATGATAAGGCTGAGAATTACTAGATGTTTATTGTTATAGTACTTAGTAATAGTAGTCTCAGACTCAGGATAATTAAGGCTTATTGTACTTGTCATATGCAAAGCCCTGTAATTTTCTTAGTTGCAAGTCTTGTTTTGACTTAAGTTAACATAACATAAGGAATTTGAGCCTCAGATTTGAGCTTTAATCAAATGTGATGATTTTCTCTGTAATCCCAGAATGTGATTCTTGTCCGCTCCAGCATGTCCTGGAATCACTCATAATTAAAATTTGGAAAAGGTTACATGTACATTATTACCTACGCAATGTATGAAAAGATATTTACATTTTTTAAATCTAAATTAAATGAAAAGGGGGGGGGGGGGGGGGGGGGGGGGGGGGTAATTGATCCCTTATCTATTAATTGTAAAATAGCTACTAATTGCTAAAGAGATTATAAAGTCGTCTGCACAGTGTCGTGGTTTTAAAACAACTGATAAACAAATACAAATATCACACACCATAAGACACGATTATACAGGTTTGCATCAGTTAAAGTAATTAAGTTCTGTAGTGACATTAGATAAACAATTTCAATACATTACATCAAGTATATGATGCCCCCCCCCCCCCTTTTCAAAGTTTGTCTTATTGTCTAAAGGGTTTACATGTCTTAATCTTGTAACATTCTCATTATAAATAGATAATGAAACGGATTACCCAATGCAATTATATTTATATTACAATATCGTTCTCAGACTCAGGTTTACAAATATCTACACGGACTATGTACAGTCAAATAGTTTTTCGTGAAAAAATAAAGCACACACATCTTCCTGCTTTTATCCAATAATTAAACAAAATGTGAATAATAATATTTACCTTTCGTTGTGCTTTTAGGGTACGTAAAACTATCCATCAAAACAAAAACACTTTCGCTGTTTCGTTGCGTTGACTTTCTATAAATTTTCTATGTTTCGTTCCCCGGTTTCTTCCAGTTAATCGACAAGTCACCCATTTATAATAAATTTTGATTCACCAGTTTGAAAAACCAAAGTTCTTTGTATCATCTATCTCTGTCCATTCAAACTTTTTAAATGACCACAACTGTAGATCGCGTGAGCGTCCATGGATTTTGCGTCATAGTATAAAAAACGGTAACGCTGAAAAGATTTCCGGGTTTCCGTATTCGACGTACCATGCAAGCTTTCGTACATTTATGTATATATATATGATGGTCTGGAATCAAGATTGGGGTTTAAGAATATAGAAAATAATGACAAAAAGTGCAAAATAAAGAGAAAAAAAAATAAAGAACAGATACTAAAAAAGCAGAAATATGGAATAAAGAATCATAGAGAATAATGGGATTATTGATAAAAAAAAAAAGAATTGAGAATAAAGAACAAACTAAATAAAGAATATTTATTCATATCATTATTTAATATTTATAACTCATTCATTTATTTTAAATTATGTTCCATTCAGAATTAGATAGCTCTGCTGTGGGGGTGACATAGCCTGAGGGCTGACATGCTTTTATCATCATGATGATGTGGGATTTAGTGGGAAGAGTAGAAAGTGCACTTTCCTGTTTGAGTAATACACTATATAGATAATGAATGAAAAAATGCATGTGATAATTAAATTACAAATTTTGACATTTTCTCAAAACATTTTTTTTTAAATGCCCTTTAAAACATATGAAAACATATGAAAATCATATGTTTTTCATATGTTTACAAACATATGTAAACATATTTTTTAAAACATATGAAAACATATGTTTGCTTCCATATGTTTTCATATGTTTCAAAACATATGTAAACATATGTTTGTAAACATATGTTTTTCATATGTTTGGGACAAACATATGAAAAACATATGAAAATCATATGTTTTTCATATGTTTTGAAAACATATGAAAAACATATGTTGCAATTTTTCCTGTGTAACAATACAAAAACAGGTCCACAATAAGTGGTGCACAGTTAGTTCCCATGGGAATTACGATAACCTGACGATATACCGAATCTCCATAGCGAACAAAAATGTTATATAGTAAAAATTCAAGTGCAGTTATAGTATCAAAGCAGGTCCTAATGACATAGTTCTTTTGTTTGTTGTTACTAAAAAATGACCTAAAAGAGTTCGAACATATAAATTTGCATTCCGACTTTTTAAATGCCCATTTAATCAGGTGTGTGAATTTTTTCTTAATAAGATTATGAGGCAAAGTGGTATATAGGGTAGAAAAATCAAAACTTTGAACAGATTCAAAATCACCAATTTAAGAACTCTTAAAACCATACGTTTTGTAAATGATAACAAGCATATACTTTTATAGCACAAGAAATCATTGGTTTCAGCTAAATTTTAATAACATACATCAAAATAACAGAATAATGAGAATATACTTATACCTTTTTTGATAATTCACCAATTATGAATGGCAAGATCTATTTCTTTCAAACTTAAAATATATCAATCTGATACAAGGTTTTAGTTGTAGTTATGAAAGATTTGAATAATATTGCTTGATAAAGTAATTGCACCTTTTTAGTTGTTTCATTCATATTAGCAAAAGGCTCTTTCAACAACCAATGTCATGTTTTTATTCATTAAAAAAAGCAACAGCATTTTGTTAGTACTTCATTACTATACTATAGGACACCAGTCACTGATTTACATGTCCAGTAAACCTCTAAATCTGGGTCAAAATCTTAATTTATCTTATAGAAATAAAAGTTCACATCATAATGACCATGTGAACTAAGCAAGGTACTGGACATTTTTTCACACAATTTTTGAGATGGCTTGAAAGTGGGGGTCTTTTCTTCAAACTATTGAATTCATACTAGATTTACAACATCAACAAAGTTGTATTGACGGTTTCACTGCATTTATTTCATGAAATGTCTCACCCATATTAAAAAAAACATTCAAAAACAATTTATGGAATGCAGCAGTTTAAAACTGAAATGATTTTAATGACTTTAAAATGTAAATTTCTCAGGAATCAACCACTTTAGTTTAAATTTAGAGGAAAAAGAAAACATAATACTTCCTACTATTTTCTTTGGAAAATGCTTGTACCAAGTCAGAAATATGACAGTTGTTTTTCACTCGTTCCGTTGATTGTTAACATTTGATTTTGTCAGTTTTTATGGACTTCCCCTTTTTAAATTTCCTTTGGAGTTTGGTATTTTTGTTATACTTTAATTACCTGTCCATAATACCCAACATCTGCTTTCTGACATCTTGAGCTCTTTTTAATGTTCTTATCTGCACGAAGTTCTCATAACACCACGGACTAGAGAACTTATTGTTTCTCCATGAATTATACACAGCTAGTAATGTTAAATGATCTCCTTCTGTCTGATGGAACTTAGCTTTCTTCTGGTCAGCTATGGCTTGTTTATCCTGTAAAATTTGAAAAGATCATTGATGTACCCCAAGTATGTTGGCAAGCATTAAACTACAAAACAAAGTTCCATGGGTGAAAGTACAAAAGGGTGCAAAAATCAGGAAATCAGGAAAATTCAATATTTTTGAAAGGATTATATAGGGGCAAAAATGACAAAATCCTGATATTTCTTGAATAATTTCATGCATTGAATTGCAATATTTAACTAATAAAAAAAATGAGACTATCTCTGACTGATGTCAGTTTATATTTTGTTGCTCTATTTCAATTTTCTGCACAAGCTTATTAATAAGACTAAAAGCCCTAAATGTACTTTTGAACCATCAGGCTATTTTCTACTTTGATGTGGATAGAGGTATGTATACCTGTCATATACGACCAATTTATTTGTTTCAACTGATTTGAGTCCAAAAAAGTAAGTTATATAATTATAACATCTAAACAACAGTATTACCTTTGGTCTGTAGAAAACATTCTGTACAGACAACATAGATACAATTGTCAGAATCTCATCACTGCAGGCTAAATGTACTGACATGATTAACATCTTAGACAACATAGGCTCCAATGGAAACTCTGCCATCTACAAATACAAAATATCAGTTCAAAAATAACACAACAACTTATCAAAAAAATATGTGGCATATGTATGTATGTGGAACAAATTCCAAATATTATAAAACAGGCTTTATTGTAATTCTTCTTAAAGGAAATGATATAAATCATCTGAAATAATAAAATTATAATTTTCTTATCATGTTGAATTTTCTTATAATGTTAAATTTTCATATTATGTTGAAATTGCTCTATTGTCCACTATAAAAATAAGGAGATGTGTAAGAGTGCCAATGAGACATAAGTACATTTTCCCCTTATTCCTTGAAAATGGATTCCAACGAAAATAAATGAATCTACAGTATTTGTAAAAACTAATGCGCTCATTAAGAAAAAGAGAGGAATATCAATATCATACATCAAGCTAAATAAAGCTTTTATATCTCAAATTAGACTTTATGATTGCATACCCTTCTGCCAAGTCTTGTAAGTAATCCTTCATCATCCAGAGCACTGAGAGCATGCAACTGTTCCATGGCAGAAATGAGGGTCTGCATGGGTGGGGCATCCATAAAATCAAATGATAAAAGATCATTTATCCCCATAGCCTTCAGTGAGAGCACAGTGCTGGCCAAGTTAGTTCTCTGTATCTCAGGCACATTGGTTGGTAACATTTCATCTCTGTAGGCTCTCTCTGTATACAATCTGTAACATTTACCTGGGCCAGTTCTGCCTGCCCGACCAGCTCTTTGTTTTGCCTGAGCCTGAACAGTTGATAAAACAATTGTTATTACATAATTTGAGAGATGTAAAACAAATTGTCTTAGATATCAAAGGATTCATTGAGCACAGAATGATGAAAAATGTCATCATAGGAATGTTCCACATTCAAAATACAGTATTGTGATTGACAATAAAATTTAATTAAAAGTGCCACATAAATTGCAATTATCTACCCCTTTGAAAACAATTACTTCTTGCAGGTTTCTCATAGCTAAAAAAACATAACATCTGTACATAAGCTGATTATATGATGCTAAAAGAACTTGTCCAGAGGAACTCAATGAAATCTCCACAAATGTAATTGACAAATGCAGGCAATGATTTTCAAAAAGAAGATTGCATCCAAATCAGACTAAAAATAAATGTTAAATGATTTTAATTAACCTACCTGTGAAATAGGGGTTACAATCAGCTGATCCATACCCGTTTTTGAATTGTAAACCTTCTGTTTAACAAATCCAGGGTCTACTACATATAAGATACCATCAATGGTCAGTGATGTTTCAGCAATGTTGGTTGCTATGACAACCTATACAGCAAAATAAAAATGATAAAAAATTTACCCTGTAATATGTAAAAGTAAAGTACATATATCATTCAATACTTAATATCACAATAACATAATACATAAACTATTTTTTTTCAGAAGTCTGTTCAAATCATGTTTTATTGCAATTATTACTTGATAGTGAAAGTAAGTTGCCTCTATCAGCAAAACAATTTAAAATGTATTTACCTTTCTTGAGCCAGGTGGAGCAGGTTCAAAAATCCTTGTTTGCATTTCACTGGGCAGTGCACTATACACAGGTAAGATAATCAGGTCAGGTACCTCTGGACCCAGGGCTTTCATTCTCTCATATAATATTTCACAGGCAGTATCAATTTCTTCCTGACCAGTCAGGAACAGTAAGACATCTCCTGGGGGCTCCATTAGGTGAATCTGCATCACTGTGATCAAGGATGCATCTAAATAATCTGTTTCAGCCTCTTTAGTGTATAACACTTCTACAGGATAAGTTCTACCAGGTATGGTAAATATAGGCTGTACAAAGAGTGACATAAGGCATTAAAATAATCTGTCTAAACATCCTAATTATATAAAACATCTGCT